AACACGATCGTTGTCGTGTCCGACACGCTGGTCGTTGTGTCAAACACGATGGTCGTCGTGTTGAACACGATCGTTGTCGTGTCCGACACGCTGGTCGTCGTGTCAAACACGCTGGTCGTCGTGTCCGACAAGGTCGTCGTCGTGTCGAACATGATGGTCGTCGTGTCGAACACAATCCTTGTCGTGTCGAACACGCTGGTTGTCGTGTCGAACACGATCGTCGTCAGGTCGAACACGATCGCCATCGTGTTGAACACGACCGTCGTCGTGTCGAACACGCTCGTCGTCGTGTCCGGCTCGTTGTCGTGCACGGCCGTCGTCATGACCGACGTTGTGTCGAACACGGCCGTCGTCGTGTCGAACACGACCGCCATCGTATCGAGCACGGCCGTCTTCATCTCCGACACGATCGTCGACGATGGTCGTCGTGTCCAACACGATGGTCGTCGGGTCGGACACGGTGGCCGTTGTGCCGAGCACGGTGGTCGTCGTGTCCGCCACGGTCCAACGCGGTTTTGGTCGTGTCGAACGCCATCACGGTCGTGTCGAACACCCTGCTCTTTTTTGCCACGACCCCCAACTACGTTTCGACTTGCACAGAGTTTAGTGCGAGTTGCGCCAGCAGAACATAGTGCCCGGATGACTGTCTTTTGTCTCTTGTAGCACTGACTGCTTGTTGCGAGATTGCACCACGACCCCCACCTTGTAATATACAATGGAGCTCCCGTCGTGCTGGGCGCGACATTGGCGTTGCCGCAGTCGTTTGCCTTCTCACCCTGGCTATCTGGAAACCCGTCGTGAGCCGTAGAACGAACTCTGCGCGAATTTTGCTTCGAATCCTCGGAGTCTGGTACCCGGGAATCAAGACGGGGGACCCTTCCGTGTTGGGCAAGGCGGTCGCGTTGGCACGATGGTTTTCCTGGTCACTCGTGGCAGTTTTCCTGCCCGCTCTTCGTGGGTGGTGAGTACCACGAGTGCCGGGAATCAAGATGGGGGAGCCTTTCGCGTTGGGCGAGGCGGTCGCTTTGCCACGATGGTACGGTCGCGTTGCCACGATGGTATTCCTGCTCACTCATGGCAGTTTTCATGCCCGCTCTGCGTGGGTGGTGATTACCACGCGTGTCCCAGTCGTTGTAGTTCCTGGAGTAATATAGAATTTTTTTATCAATGCCCTCGTGCCAAGCTGTGTGTTGCGCGCCAGAGTCTTCGCCGTTCCGCTGTTGGTGCCCGCTGGGTTTTGCACGCCATGGTCTCTGCTTTTCCGAAGCTGGTGCCCGACGTGACATGTCCTGCGTTTCCTGTTGCTCGTCAAGATCTCCGCCTTTTCAATGTTGTTGCACGCTGTGTTTCCGGTTGCTGGTGCCCCGACTCGACATGTGCTACGCTTCCCACTGTCGTTCGATCTCCGACTTGGACAGACTCTTTCGCGTGTATTGCGCCTTTGGCACGGATTGGGCCCCGATGACTGGATTGCTGCCCAGATTCCACGGTCGTGTGTTATACTCTCTCGGATGTTTCCTGTTCCCCTCCGTCCAGTGTAGGGCTGTGTTTCTCAGGGTCATTTATAGGGCTGTGTTTCTCGCTATTGTGTAGGGATGGTTGTCTGGTCCATTTCATTTGACAGTGGTCCGCTGTTTTGTTGTCGCAGACACGTCTCGTGCATGGCTTGTGGTGTGCATGCTATGCCACGGCAGGCTTGCAGTGTGTGGCGTCTAATACAATGCTCAATGAGGATTTTCCTCCGCCTCACCTGCCAATGTGTTCACAAGATGTTCGAAGTGGTCACGAACATGTCGATAATGCTCCGGAATCTCCTGCTCGTAAGAGGTCACGAAATATTGCGTGTGCGGACACTACATGTGAAAGTGCGTATCCCGTCCTTCGATGCCCGGTTCGAACATGTGATGCAGAGTGTTGAAGGTCAGGAGGGTAATGTCTCCTCTCCTAACAACGACGCATCCGATGTAGATCGTGTTGTATGGGTGCCGAGGAGTTCACTTCGAGATTTCGAGTACACAGGTCTTCTGTTTGGTGAGAGTGATGAAGGTGGTTCAAATTCAAGTGCTTCGGTGTCGTCTAGTGCTGATAGTTCTCCAGATAAAACCGATCTTTCGCAAACGTACGTTGACCGGAACAGTGACCACTGTTGTCGAAATGACGATGAGAATTGTGACGTAATCTCTGATTTCGATGACATTTTTCCAAAACGTCTGTCCTCAGAGAAGCGTCTTTATACTTTTCGTCTCAGAATGCCGCAGTCAAAGAAGATTTTGCAATCAGTTCATAAAAAACTCACCAAAAAAGCACTGGCGAGTGTGCGTGGGCAAGTTTGCTGTAAGCGAGAGTGTTGCGCTCAAATGACCCTGGACGACATCAAAGTTGTCCGGAGCGATACTACTCTAAGAACCAGCAGAGCAGGGATGCGTGGTGGGTTGAAACGTTAAAGAGGTTCACCTTCATAGAAAATGAAAAGGAGATTGTTCAACTGGGGAGACGAAAGGTGTGCATTAGTGCTTGGTGTTTCACACTGGGTGTATGTAGGAATACATTTCTCAAGAAAAAAGTGACTTTGTCAAAAGGCTACAATATGCCGGAGCACGGTAGTACTGGACTCAGACGCACATCAACAACATATGCGACGATGTACGGGAAACTAAGCTTCTTCGTGCGAGACAAGGGAGATTCCATGCCCAATGACATGAAGATCAAAGAGGGGGAATCAAGAGTGGTGTTGAGATTGCCTGCTTGCTATAACAACGTTGATATTTATAAGATGCTAAAGTCGCAATTCGACAACATGGGTGCTCCTTGTGTTTCTCTCCAAGTTTCTTACAACATGTGGAGAACGCAGTTCTGGCATGTGAAATTCCATGACATTGATCAAAACTTTGCGAAATGCGAGAAATGTGTTGAATACAAAGAATCTATCAATTCCGCAAAGTGCATGCGTGTGCGTGAGTACTTTGTTTCGTTACGTGAGAAACACTTGGACTTGCAGCTCCAACATCGTGCTGCGTATGAGGTGTGGAAGGATGAGTCGAAGAGACCGGGTTCCAACAGTTTGTGCATCATCATTGACGGCATGGACCAAAGTAGGACCAACATTCCACACTTTGGCGGAGAGAACAAATCGAAGGCATTCGCAAATATTCCGATGTTGAAAACGAATCTAACAACTATTATTGCACATGGTCGCTCACCATCGGTCCATGTTCACACATGGTACCCTTGCTATCCATATGATTCTAATGCTGTAGTGTCATCCATTATGAAAGTTCTCCTCGACATCCAGGCGACGAGCGACTTGCCTCCTAAACTGAGGATACAAGCTGACGACTATTGGAGAGAAAACAAAAACAGATACGTTTTGGCACTCGCTACAGCTTTGGTGAAATTTTGCTTCTTCAAAGAAGTTGAATTCGGTTTTATGTTAGTGGGACACACACATACAGATGTTGATGCCACTTTCAGTCATTTCTCTCGCAAACTGAAAATCAATGATGAATATACCATGCTCGACCTCTTCAAGCTCGTTGCCAGTTCTAAAAAAAAACGTCCATCGTGCACATTCATGGATGAAATTGCTGATTGGCGAGCTGCTGTTAAGACCTTCCTGGTCAAGAGACTGACCGGTCATACTCGTCCACATGCATTTAGGTTTTATATGCAGGATGACAATCCTGTGTTCCAGTGGAAAGAGTATTGCACTTCTCCTGAATGGTCTGCTCCAGTCTATTACTTTAAACGAGATGGAAACAAAACATATGCTGGACCCGAATGGTCATTCGTGC